TATATATATATATATATATATATATATATATATATATATATATATATATATATATATATATATATATATATATATATATATATATATATATATCCAAATCGGGCTTGGAACTTTGAAACCTAGATTTAGTTGGACGGATAGTGACAAATTTTGGAAAAAACGAGTCCGATTGGATTAATTTCAATCGATGATCACATTTACGACTAATAGGATGAAAATATAAATATTGTTACGCGCAGTTTGGGGACCATTCAATTGCATATCTGTTTTCTCAATAGAAAGTCTCTATCGTAGTACGCGAGATTGAACAACGACGCGTCATGGCACTTTTATTTTATGCCCGCTGTTTGACCTTAATACGCTGCTGGACTTCTTTGACTGAGCCAACTTAGCTAGTTAATCGACCGTCGACGCAGTTACTACTTAGCGACCAACCATCGAACACTTGCGGTGCATGTCCGGCACCGTCATCGACCGAGCCGTATCGAACACTCGCGGTGCATGTCGGGGACCGCCACCGACCGAGCCGAACGCTTCTCCGCGACGCGCCGAGGCTTCCCACCGCACTTGGCGGACCGCTTTCCCGTTTCTTTTGTCGGTTTCTTCCTAGGAATGGGTGCATTTATTGTGCCACTCCAAACCGACGTGGATCACGTCTCGTGAGGCCATTTGGTCAATATCGCCATTGTAGGTGTGCTTCCCTCCGTCGGATAGTTGACAAGGTCAGCTCTCGCTTCTGAGACTCCCGCTGGTGGCTTCTGTCGTAGCAAGCTTGGCCCAAGGAAGACGATGTCGATGAGATGGACGCCCAGAGGATGAAGTGAAAACAAAGGTATCGGGTCTCCAAGCATCATCGTTTGTCTTGGTAGGTTGGTAAGACGGGAATATGCACGCGGTGAACGCGATGGCGGTGGCGAGGGGGGTGATGACGATGATGATGGCGGCGGGGGGTGGCGGGGGTAACGGGGAGACCGTGGCGGTGCTGCAGGAGGCGGAGGACATCCCGTTCGGGACGGGCTGGTGGTACGCCTACGCGGGGATCTCGTGCTTGCTGGTGCTGTTCGCGGGGATCATGTCTGGGCTAACGCTAGGGCTCATGTCGCTGGGCCTAGTAGAGCTCGAGATCCTGCAGCGGAGCGGGACGCCCACCGAGAAGAAGCAGGCAGGTCCGGCCTCTTTTGCTTCCCGTGCTTCTTCGGTTTCTTCTTTTGATTTCATCGCTTGATTGCTTCTGTCTCTATCAGTTGATTGAATTATGATCAAGATTGTGTTTTGTCGTATCCCACGCTTCTTCTTTTCCATGAACGTGATGTTAGTAGAGGAAAACGCTTCTGATGCAATCGATGTTCATGGTAATTTCTCGCCGAAAAAAAAAGTTCTCACAGTTCTTTCTATAAACATTAATTCCAATGTCGATTGTTTCTTGTTTTCTCCGTCATCAATCAATGAAAATAAATACTTTTAAACCCTTTTATTAAAGAATGTTTAAGGAAGTTTATTATCGAGCATTTTCACTTTCATTGTCTGACAGTTCTAGTTTGTGATATGTTACTGTTACCCAGCTGAAAACATGGAAATCAAAATACTTGAGATAATTGAATTTGTAGAAATGTTAATGGATTAATCTCTCAAATAAGAGAAAATCTGAGCCACTAGATAGATATGGTAGTCAACACTATCAAAGGATAGATTTTGTAGCAGTCAAAAACATTTTGGCTGTTTAACAGTGATTTACATGTTTTTAGAGGAAGGGGTGAATGAGAATATTTACCATGAGATAAACATGGCCAAACTTCTTATCTGTTTAGATAGAACTTTTTGTACTTGTTTAGTTGGAAATGCATGTAGAGACAAATGCTCATTATTGCATCTTAAAGTTTCTAAATTTGAACAGTATGAGTCCTATTAGAAAAGAAAGTTTGAACTTCCAAGAATTTTCAGAACTTCTACCTCTGAAAAGAAAAAAAAGAAAGAAAGAAATTAAGACATCAAGCATGTTTTCTTCTTTATCATTTGCAATCTTTTTACATCTATAAGAAAACAGTATGAAATAGAGGTGATGAGAATGCCCATGTCCTATGTGGTACAAC